TCCCCTTACCAGCAGCCCAAATGCTCACGACGATGAGCTGGGCTGTCACCGCTTGGCCGCCGGTGGGGGGTTTGGGAGGCCGCATCACACACACACACTCCCTCAACTTACACGAACACACACATACGCAGACTGATTTCCACACGGACATAGACACACGCACAGAAACCCACACACTACCTCAACTCACTCGACTTCATTTAGTTTCGTATTTCGTTTTGCGTTTCGTTTCGCGTTTCGTTTCGTTTCGTTTCGTTTCGCCGAATCAACTCCACTCCACCTATGTCGATTACCTAGATCATCGAACATCATGATGGGCACCTTTTATCTCTCCAATTTGGGCATGCTCTCCGCAACCGAGAATCTCCATGACCCGTTCACGTCACATGTTTCACATGTTCATGACACGTGGACATCTAGCTGAAGCCACTAAGCTACTAGCTACTAGCAGGAAACCTACGTAACACTTCACACCGCACACTTACCGGATAACTCGCACTCTGACTTCCTACGCGATGAAAAATGCTTTCGGGCCACTCGTCGTCTAGTTTTTTAGAATTTCAATAATGTTTGCTTTCGAGCACTTTTCAGGTTTTGTGCACTTTGAAGCCTGGAATCAGGTTTCCCGGTTGAGGAGGGCCCAAAAGAGGCCAGAGCGGTCTTGAAGAAAGGCCAACATTGAAAATGGAAGAAAAAGCAAGGATACGGTTTGGAGCAATTAATTAGTAAAACACTTCCAGCAAACCCTTACTATTACATTTACAACCACTTATTCATGCTCCAAACCCAAGCTACCCACACTTGCACTACCTGTTTTCACGCCCGCGTCATATCAATCGCGCACCATCACGCAGTTCCTTCTGCCGAGCATTTAAGACTGCTAATTGTGGCATTTAAGAACTGCACGCAAGAGCTCTATGAAGGGGCATGAAACGATGCCACTTAAAGAGGGCGACAGTGAGGTCCGGCATCAAATAAAGGTGCTTCACAATTTTCCACAGGAAACCAGCACCAAACATACAAGTATGGTCACCTTGGGTCTAAGAATGAGGCCACCCAGAAAATAATAGGTTCTTGCCCCTCGATGAAAAAGGACATGAAAGGATTAACATGCACTACGCCCTGGTTGTTGACTGGTTGCCAGTTTTCCAAAAGTCCACGCCATCAGGTTCCATGTGGGTCTCTTCCCGGGTAAGCCCACGGAAGTACTCGAAGCGAGACTCATTCCGCTCTGACCGTCGCACGGACCAAAACGGCCAGCTGCGCAAGGATCAGAGATCAACGAAACTGGGCCCCAAGCACTGCAAGGCGTGAAGGGTGATATTTCGCATATGTAGGTCAGTAATGTGCAGGCTTTATGTTTTTAAAAGCCTCTCTATGGTCGTCCAATGTCTGTTGCTGGGGTAAGGCCGGCAAGCCTGGCAAGCCGCGAACAAAATCATGTCGTCAGTGGTTGAGTACTTTGAGAGTTGCCCAAACCAATGTGAGGGAAATGCTGTGTTACCTTGCGAATAGAGCCCCGCAGGCCTCGTGGAAATCGTGCACGGAAAGACCATCCCACAAATGTACATCTGTTCAACCCCACCAATGCCACCCATTCTTGGATCCGTGGCAAGAACTGCAAAGTCTGTGACATCCAGAATACGACCCTTAAGGCGTGCGAACTTCAAGTGCTCGACACATACTGTGTTTGGAAATCCGTTGCATGAACCCCAGCACCCAGGCTGCTTCGAACAAGAGATTGGATCTTCTCAGGCACCCATCGCGTGTCGCCAGGAAGCATTTGTGGGCCCAGTGAAGCTGATATTGAGATGGAGCACTCCCGTTTGGGATTCCTAAGAGGCCCTTCACGTGCCAGCCGGGATGAAGAGCTTGTAAAGCCAATAGATTGATGTCATGTTGAACCCCTGGTCTTTTGTGCTTCGCCTTGTGGAAAATCTGGATCCCCCACAGTGATCACTGAAAAGTGGTTGCTCTATGTTCTTCCATGCCGACTTCCGTGACGATGGTGAACAATCAACGTCAATTCAACAGGCAGTTTGGTGTTCGAGGCAAAGCAAGTGCTATTTGAGGTTTATCAAAGGCATCCTGGGGAGGGCTGTGGTTCAAAAAGCTGTGGTTAAACTTGAGAGAGGAGGGGGTGAACGAAAGGTAGCAGACAATCACAAGTAACCTTGGTAGAAGTCCATGACGGCGTGAACCGGCGCAGGGGGGATTTGATCCAGGGGGGGGGCCCCCCCCCGACGAACAGAATCAACTCTTACAGGACCAAACTCAATGCGCAATCCCAACTCCTGATTGTAATACATTTTTGCTAAAGCAAGGAGAACTCAGGTAGCTCAAGCTACCTTTCGTGACTTGGGGTTGAGTTGAACCCCGAGTTTGTGCATCCAAGTGCTCACCTTGGGGTCATCTTCGAGGCAGCATTCTTAGTTATCATTTGAAAGCATGAATCCCTCCTGCGCAAGGCTTATCCAAGGCTCATGTTACAAAGAATGCATGAAAAAAAGCAGGCTCCTGCCTGCTGATTCCCCTTTATCCAGGGCTTATCCAGGCTTCTCCAAAGGTTGCCAAAACCGCACTTGTGGGCCGTGCCAGGCCGTCTGTTTTCTCACTCAGTGAAGCACAAACGTCTGAGACCAAACAGGCATGTCTAAGCCTTATTTATTGATAGCAAAGAGTCCTGTATTGTCAACATCCCCCCTAGCACTCTGTGAGCCTCGCTGTGAAATTACAGAACCATTAACAAAATTGTAGCAGTTTGACCCAAGGCTCCCTTTTGGAACCTCGTTGGAAAGGGCTTTGACACCTGCCCTCTGACACCTCACCGAACCGTTTGCTCTATGGATCGGCATCACTCGGCTGACACGAACCGGGTGAAACGCAGAGTTTCACCAGTCGATCTCCGGTGAGAAAAGATGCTCTCAAAGTATAGCCAGCTTGAATCAAGGGTCCTGGGAATCCGCAGGTGACGAACTACCAAACAGGGAAGGTTGAACATGTTGAAGCAGGTACCCCCACTAGGAACATGGGTCAAACGCTGCTCGCAAAAAAAGGGCTGATTGTGGACGAACCATGACACAAAGCTCTGGTTTTCCAATGGGAGGATAATTCTAGAATTGGAGTTCCTTTGTCCCAGACTCATGTCAAACATGCTTCAAACCTTTGAAAAGGATAGCCCCAACAAAAGCCATGCTTCAAACATCTTCGGACTACGAATTCAACCCTCTTTCGCTGGAGATCTAGTTACTGCCAACTTCCACATCCATCAAGTTAACCAAAGAAGTCATTTTCTTTCGACCGCATCAACCATCCAACTCCGGACAAACTTCAAGGCCTCCAAGGCCACAGCGGGTTGCCTGCGGTAAGCTGGCTTCCAAACCGAGCCTTCTTGCTCAGAGCGTGCCTGTCTGGTCCTGCTGCAGCTCTCCTTGTGCCTCGGCGAGCGCAGAGCACCGTTCGTGAAGCGATAAGAAGCCGGCACCGTCACGGGGGTTCAGGGGGGCACTACATAATAGGTCCAGGTATTATATATATATATATATGGGACTCGAACGATGGTTTTGGGTTCAACAGTCCCATTCTTGCTCATGCACAACCATCTCAAACCTCAAGTCTTTTTTGGATCTCATATTGCCTCGACTAGAGGACTTAGAAGTATGACGATCGAGTCGAGAAGTATTTCATCATTGTTGAAGACAAAAGGATGCACATGAAGGCAGAGAGCCTACGGGATCTGATGGAAACTGATCTTGGAGAAACTTGGTTGAGTGCTTCATGCCCACCCAGCCCTGATTGAGTAAATACAATGACAATTGGATTTGTCTTGGCCAAAAATTGATCCATATTCCGTAATCTCCAAGACCTGCAGTCAATGCAACCAGTTAACACAGTGGCCTCAACACCTTCGATGGTTAAACTCCCAACCTGCCAACATCCATACAGAACCTCGATCCCACTGCGCATTCCTGATGAGACAGGCTTCATGGCAGGGGCTCCTGTGCACCACCGTTTGCAGGCGTTTTGGGAGGTTTTGGGGGAGGAAAGCGAAACTTCATGATATGGCTGAGGGGGTGCACCTCAAAACTTTGCTGGACAAAGTACGCTCCCGAAGACAAAAATAGGTGAAAACGGCTGATTTCACGGATGTTTAACATGGAATGCCTTAACCGTGAATTTGCTGGGGAATGACCCTGCCACTTGATTCAACCGGAAAAAAGGTCTGGGGCTAACATAGACCAGGTCACGCCACCTCTAAGATCCCTGGCTTATTAAAATTATGCCCTAACATAGACCACCACGAACGACCCTGCTCCCTAACATGGAATGATTTCATACCACCACGAACGACCCCTGCTCCCTAACATGGAATGATTTCATCTTGAGCACTCGAAGACCTTTTCCCTTTGCTTCTCAAATCTAGATGTACGAATCTTGCAAACTGCGTGAGTGAGAGAGTTGATGGGAGAGTACACTGCATGAGTCAACACTTTTTGGAAGCAGTGGGGAAACGAAAAGACAACAGGTTTCATGTGTTGCGAGTGTAATTACATCACTAGAGACACCGCTTCCTAACATGGCACATGCCGGCCTAACATGGAACTATTTTCGGAGTGGATGTTGGGCCCAACAGCCAATGATTTGGCTTAACATGGACCATGCCAGAGGCTCTGTTACTGGAAGAAAAATCGGTACTAACATAGACTAACATAGACTGCATGCACGTCTCCCGCAGGTGTCGCTAACACAGACCAATTTGTTGTTATTGCTTTTTTTGGGGGGATAACGTTAGTTTTCGCGAGCGTAAAACGTAAGAAACCCTTCGGATTGATGGCCCGGCAAAAGGTGCTGGAGCTGTCATCAGAGCTCCAAACCACCGAGCTGCGGTTGGACACCTAGTCTCACCGCTTTGGATGCTTTGGCCATAGGGGATGGAATTTCCTCTTTCGAATCGCGGGGGTTGGGTCCCCGATAAGACCATGTTTTTAGCCACTTTTTCTTGGCTCATATGGAGCTTGTAAAGTCCTGTCCTTCAAGAGCCTCGATTTTATAGAGAATTGTTGTTTTTTACAAGCTTGATTCTATAGAGGCTTGTAAGTATAGTGAAGGGATTTTGGATGTCTTGGCCATACCGATTCTATAGAGAATGATTTGTATGATTTTGGATGTCATGACCTGCAATTCTATAGAGATTGCTTTTTCTTGGCTTGATTCCAATTGGGATTGCTCAAAAGAACCCTGGGGAATGGGTTCTTGGATGAGTCAGGATGACGCATGATGACGCTAGCAAATTTGGAGCATCCTAGCAAGGGAACGCCTTATATGAAACACATTGAAACACTTTAAAATCAGAGATCATCACAGATCCTTACCTCTCCAATCCTCTCCATAACACCTGCTGTCTTCTCTATAGATTTGTGGTCCTACCAACTGGCAAATCAATACCTTCCAATGAAATTGGAATTTTATGTTTTGTTGAGACCCATGGACCTTGATTCTATACAGAAACAGGTTTTTAATAGATATTTTTGAGACCCATGTACCTTGATTCTATAGAGAACCAGGTTCAGACTACAACTCGACAACACCTGTTCGGGAGTGCCTTGTGACCTGCAGTTTTATAGACACAAACCCTTAATATTCACAACTTTCAGCAGCTTTTGACAGACTAATGGCCCTCAATTCTATAGAGCTAAATCTTTGTATTTGGGCCCTTTTCCTATGTTATCTTCAATTTTATAGGGTCAAAAAGTGACCCTCATTGGAGGGGGGTTGGTCCCAGCATTTTAGCGCTATAAAATCGCACCCCCTTAATTCCAACCCCGATCTTTGGCCAATCCCAGGCCTCGGGTCAAGTGTTCTGTCCGGCATGTAGAAGCTGAGGTGGTTAATGGGTCGCATGGCGGACGCTGAGGCCAGCTTTCGATATTGGATTTGTGATGTGACGGTATGTGAACAACACAATGATGCACAATAGCCCAAAGGCTCCAATGTATGCGCCACATGATGACATTTGGAAATGTTCAAAATAGTTGGCACATTGGCTTTACCAAGGCATATGTCCTCAAATTTTGAGCACATTCACAAGTCAACATGTTTCGAGATGTTTCGAGAACTTCAAGATCTTCGAGACCATCAGCCTTAAACTCCTGTTTTTTCCCGAATGCGTAGCGAAGGGTTCTCGTTTAACTCGGGGGGTCTGGGGGTAAGGAATTTTCTGTCTAACTGGGGTTGGGAATTGAACTGGGGTTGGGAACTCTTAGTGGGCGTTCTGAGGGTATGACCAGTGTGGTGATTTAAGGCACAGTGAGCAACAATGACCAATGGTATGACCAGTGTGGTCGTGGTCCTTTCAGTCACAGTGAGCAACAATGACCAATGGTCTGACCAGTGTGGTCCTTTCAGTCACAGTGAGCATTCAACTTGTCGTCAAGTCAGCAGCCACTTGTCGCTTATTACTTCTTTTGATGGTGCCGGTCTTGTCACTTTCAATAACAAGCGTATTGTCCATCAGCCTTTAAACTTTCATGTACTTTTTGATAGCGTATGCGTTTATAAGTTTGACCGTTTGACATGATCGTTTTATCCTGGCCTTATTGCTATTCTAGAGGCCTATTTCGACTGTGGGTTTTGCGCGTGACAGAAACTAGGACGCCGTGAAACGAAAGCGGGACTTCACATCAACACACGACCGAAAAACAGAACGGCATTCTTTCTCTTGTCAATCGACAGCCATTCCTGATCTTCGAAAGTTGAGAGGTAGGTTCTTTTCAATGTAACGACCGTCAGAAATTACCAAGAAAGAAGAGGGAACGAACAGGAGTTCTCAAATCTAATGAGTCAGTCTTACACACGTAAAAATTGTCCATGGATTCTTACCAGCAACAACTCGACGCATAATCAAAGACAACCACGATGCCCCTCGGAACTCGAAACATACAATGTCCCGTCTTCAAGACTGTAAGGTTTCTGCACTGCTCATCAACCCTAGAAAAAGTTCCTTTCCACAGGCCACCCAATGACCCAATGTCAACAAGGTGCCTACAAGGTTCCCACCCCTACCCGCTCAGTGATTTCACTCGTTTTTCCATGGAAACTGGTAGGTGCTGTGCTGAGTCTATCAATGCCCTCTCAAGGAAGCATGGGCGTCGTCTAGCAGGGACAAGCAATTCACCACCAAGCCATGCAAGTCCGCGTTGGAGGTGGCGCCGCCCCACCTCAGACTCAGACGAACGAATCAGCTAGCTGACAGATTGACTTGACTAATTAATCATGCGCGTTGTAAAAACTGAAGGCCATGAATTATAGTCAAAAGGTCATGGCAAGAATCACGTTCGCAAAATGACAGGCTAGGCACACCCATTGGCTCAAAATTTGGTGGGACAGAAGGCAGTCGTTCTGTAGTTGACGCCGACCCTCAACTGACTTCCCATCCGGCAAGTGGGCCAGCCCCCGCTCGACCTTGCTTGGCGCAAGGGATGCGTGGTTGATTCTTGGGTCGGGCGCCAATGACCGCTGATCTGCCATGGATTGAACTTGAATGATGGCCGCGCACAAATCTGCGATCGCCAAAGTTTCAAGGTGCACTCCACAGCATCCAACGATTTGTCTGCCACATTCCTTGATCACTTCAAATGGTTCGATATCTTGGGAGAGCACACCATGACACTGAGAGCTGAGAGTGGTCTCGTAGATCACCTTCAAGTTCAGAAGCGCAGGAGGAGTCAGTGCCGCCATGGGAAGCCGATGCACGGCTTGCACACATAATACTTCGCAAGTACAAAAAGGCTGACCTTGTGAGCCTTCAACATGAAGTCTCAATGACAAGCCTTCCAGAATTTCGCAAATAAGTATGCACTCCACAAACGGTCACAACTCCACAAATCGAAATCGTCACGCATTGAACTAGCGACTTCGACATTCAAAACGCACTCAGGACTAGGTTACTACGCTGCACATCAAATCGGCTCAAAACTGATGAGTGATTCGTGACATTGAGGAGCAAACTTTTTCAGGGAAATGAAGATCTGCTCTCTAGCCATTCAAGACTATCAGACTATCAGTCAACCTCTTCAGGATCTGAAGCGCGTGGGATTTCTTCTTCTGGCAGTTCTTCTCCCTCATCCTCAGGCTCAGGAGCGTCATGCGCAGAGCTGGCTGCAGATTCAGCAGCAGCGGTGGCTTGGTCAGAAGCAGCCGTTTGCGAAGCATCAGCAGCGGGACCATCTGCCTTCAACTTCCCGGCCTTCACGGACTCCAAAACAGCCTTCATCATTTCAGCCTGATGCGCAGAGGTCAAACTGAGCAACGACACTAATCCGAACACAGTTTAAAAGAAGGTGTAGTTCTGAATCCACTCACTGTCAGTTATGGCTAGGTGTTGCCAAGCTGCGCGAATCTCCATACATTTAGACAAAGGCTCACCGTCCCTCAACTTGCCCACGAGCAAGTCCTGAGAGCAGTGCAAACCAAGGTCCAACTTGAACAACCGAAAATGGAACGCGGCCAATTGGCTGCAATTTCTTTGGATTTCTCTCTGGGGTACATCTTGCCACCGACCTCAGACCGGGTGACTGTAACTGCAACTGCAACGAATGTCAGCGCAGGCGCCACAAACAATACCAATGGCCAATGGCTTACCTTGATGACACAAAAACATCAACCTTGAGAGCGCGACTCGAAGCAGTTCCTTGCCGTCGATCTTGATGCCAAACGAATTGTTGTTCTTGTAGTACGCTGGCGAACCCACCTTGGGCTTCGCCAGATCAGCAGCAGGACGCTTGCGGGGTAGCATCTTCTTTGGAACTGGTTCTGGTTTCGGAACTTCCTCCTCGTGTTCAGGAGCTGTTGGAACTGCAGCAGAAGCAGCAGGCTTCCTCAAAGCGGGTTTGCGCAAAGTTGTCCTCGGCTCCTGACTCAACAAATCTACAACGCGTAGCACGGTCTCGACAGTCTCAAATATGCACGAATCACAGACTATTACATTCACCGTACTAGTCCCAGCCTCCTCTTCCGTCGAAGATTTTGAAACTTCAGTGATGTGGGAAAGGAGCGGCATGCGGGATGATTTCCACAATCTTTCACAAAGATTCTATTTGAGCCGGCCTTCAACAATAAAGCTCTGAGTTGCTGGCCCATTCGATGATTTTTGATTCTACACATTATACTATACCCTGCAGGCAAACATCGTGGGGTTTTTTGCAAGTCACTCTCACTCCGAACTGCCAGCGAAATGCGCTCAAAACGGCCTACTGCATGTCAAAATGCAGCCCAACATCCACTGGCATCAAAATTAAGTCATGCTAAATCTCAAGCGGTCGCTTCAATCATTACATCGCCAGATTATTGGGCTGCAAGGAGTCTAAACTCACATAGCTTTGCGCTATGATCACCGCAGCATCACGGCTGACTCTGGGGGAATCTCAAAGCTGCAAAGCAAGTACACTTTCGGTTTCACAGCTTGGATCTTCGCAGGGGCCTTGGAATATTGAACCTGGAGAACGAGCGGCCATGAACCAGTCTACTATTATTCTGAAGCCTTTGGCAAAATCAACATTGCGGTATGTATTTCAACAATCGCATAGTAGGCACACTGTTTGCTTTTAAACTTTGTCATCGCCTCCCACACGACGGCAGCTGTCTTACCGCGGATGCACTTGTGGTAGTTGCCGTGATACAGGGCCCCAAGAACATGCCTCCCCAATTCGCTGGTGCCCTCCTCGATCGGGTTTGGCTTGAAGACAGAGGTGATCAAGGTGGGAGCTGGAACCACATTGTACCGAAAAGACACGGGAATTGCTGGCGCATCTCCAACCTCGATCAATCAATTGGCGTCAACTTTAAATTTAATACCAAGTGCAAGAACTTCGCATTTACCAAAAACATGTCACGCCGAAAATGACGAACGAACTCAACACTGTACGAGAAACTGCTGGGTGGTGCTTCTCTGTCAAGACATGACTTTCTAGCTCAACTTGCCCAAGTCCATGATCATTGGCAAGGGTCTTGAGGAACTCGCACAATGGGACCACCTGCTTGTTGTGAGAAATCAATGCAAAGTCATCCTGTAGCCTCCATACCACACCAGTTCCTTCTGTAAGGGCTTGCTGTTCACTCACGGCTGAATCTGTAAAGCTACCTGTGCCGAAGCCAAAAAGCTCGGATGCAGAGACGGTGATCGCAGTGCCTGAAGTGTTGTAGACCCACACGCTGAAATCCTGCATGATGGCAACGCTTGGCTTGCCGCTCTTGCCCATTGTGCTACCCAGCCTGGAATTTGGAAACAGCTACAGACTATAAACGATAATTGTAACTACAGTATTCGGCGTTCAGAAATTGAAACTGCTGTGTACTTTTGTCAGGTGTGCCATTTGTAATACAACGAGACAAAGACCTGCCTAGCTTTCTTGTTGAACTCCTCAAGGCTCACGACCTCAGGCTCAATCTCACGGTCGACATCCAGTGGCACCGCGCCAGAATCAATGGAATAGTCGCAAGCGCCTGAAACGCGATCATTGCCGCTGCTACGGCCTCCTTCTGGTCTTGCGGGAGGTGTCACACCAAACTCCTTTTCAAAGGCCACCTTCAGCCTCTGAAGCTCCTTGTACTCCACGGATTGGTGGTCAAACTTGGAGAACGCTTGTTCCGGAAAGCATGGCTTGCCTCCACGAAGCACGACGATGTCAAGCGGGAGATTGGCAAGGGCATTGGTTGCTTCCGAATCTTTCTTTGGCCTCTCTTTTGGTGGGGACGCTGGACAATCATCCCAGTGTTGAAAGACTTGGCTCTGGAGTGCATCCCGCAGTGGCTTGAACCCCTTCTGGATGATCCCGCAGTAGCGGAGAGGAACGTCCGACCCACGTAGCAACTTCATCACGATAGCCCGCGCAAACTCAGCATGCCTAATGGGTCGCT